AGGGGGCGGGCTGGCTGGCATGTGGTGCTGGGGGATTGAACCGCGGTCCCTGATGCTTTTGCCAAGCTTGTTCTAAGTAGGTGCTTTAGACCACTGAGCCATCTCTCCAGCCCCGGCATTTTCTTAAAAAGTAAAATATGTTTTTCTTTGACTTGGCAGTCATGCTTTGTGTCTACGTCCCCATGAATGTGGACACCAGCTGAAGAATTTATGGTGCCTGCAAGTGTATGTGGCCACACTTCTGCTTCCTTCAGGGTCCAGGGCTGTGTGAGTGTCCTGTGGGTACAATTTGATTTTTATGCACATGTGCCCAATCATGATGGCTTTCCCAGCTTACCTGCTGTTACCTGACTTCTGGGACAACTCTTCATTGACATCTTTTGTCCACTGGCACCTCTGGCCTGCAACGTTCTTAACATAAGCAAGGAGACTATTATTATCACGATGGTCCAAGTTGCGTTACTTTATGCCTTTTCAAGCGTTACTTCGTTTTGTCTCTTGGGGCAGAGATGGTCATTCGCATTTCCTGTGGGGTTCCCAGCCCTGGCACAGTGTTGGCATTCAGAAGCAGGGGGGGAGGGCTCCAATCTGTTCTTGCACACTAAGCTGGCAGCATGACCCAAGAGCTCAGAAGTCAGCCACATTTACATGTGCAATAACAGAGGCGGGTGTAGGGGGGACAGGTGGGCTTTCCAGAGGGGGAAGAACAGATCTCAAAACTGGAGCTTCTGAGAGGCAGGGAAAAGCCACAGGCCCAATTAGATGTGCTCAAGGGACAGGCCCACGGGTGACCTCGTGGGATGGAAGGAGAAATAGCTGCAAAATAGATTTCATGCTGGACTACGGGAAGATCTTGACGGCAAGGCCAAGACCTTGCACTAGACTACATGAACAAGACCTGAAAGGCAGCCACCCGGGTGTCCGCCACCTGGCTCTCCCCCTCCTGTCTTTAGTGCTACGTGCACAGGGTCCATGCAGATGAAGACCTAAAAGCAGCTGCTCACCAGGAGCTCCTGCCCCTTCCCTGCAGGAGGGTCCTGGACCTGGGAGTCAGGCAGTGGAGGAAGGAGGCATGCTCAGGCTTCGGGGCCCTTTGCTTTCTCCAGGGACAGTGAGGGTCTCCAGAGCCTGGTGGTCTCTTTTCCTGCTTCTCTGCTTCTGTGGGTGAGGGCTTAGCCTTCCCTAGTTGGACTAGGTGGCCACAATTAGTAGTAATTTTAGACGGGTGACAAACACCAGCAGTAGTCATGCTTCACCGCCTCCTAAGTGTGTCCCCTTGCGCGTGATGTGGAGTCACACACACGTGATGAGCCCGTGCTGCCTGAAGGGT